GAAATCCACACATCTTAAAGTTGATACAGCTGAGAAACACTGATCTATAATAGGAGGCCTTCTGAACTACTGCAGTGGCAAATAAATTATTCTGAATGTCTGCTTGTATCTGGGGGGTGTAATTAAGCCAGGGGCATTTGTTCAGGTGCTGAGCAAGCTCAGTTTCTTTAGTTCATTCTCCATGTCCATGGTGGTTATTGTCTTTTCATTCCCCCTCCCAGGCTTTTTTAATGCCTCTGTTGGGAAGTGAGTTGCTGGGGACTCACAAAGAATAGCAATATACACAGATTAGCTATATGGCAGCTGGGAAGGGAAAAATAAGGACAAAATAAGCCTCAAATGTTATCTTCAAATATGAAGCAATACTTTAGGGAGCTATGTCTGTGATGAGTTATAATATTAATAACCATTTCATTTTAGTAATCTATGTCCACAGCAGAGAAATGCAAAAAGCCATAAAACATTCAGACAAGCTGCAGATGAGTTGTTCGGTGTTATGTGTGGAAAGGCTGCATTTAAGAATTAAAGTTAACTTTATACCAATGGAAGTTTGTATTGCAACAGCAGCGTAAAATGACTAAATTCTCAACTTAGAAACATGATGGCAATTCCGCTTTATAGTATTTGATATGAATCAAAGGGAATAATTTTGAATCTAAGAGAAATAATAAGAGAAGATGCCTAATAGGTGATGCCTATCTTTCAGCTAGCTTTGCCCATGTACATGTTGGAGAATCAAGTGATAAAAACTTTTCTGGATCATGTCACTTCAGAGAACAAGCTTGAATATTTCATTTCTAATTTCATCTCATTCACCAAATGAAAAAATGGATATGTTGTAGGAAAAAGTTAACCCCCCCTCTCTCACACACACTATTTTCTATTTGAATAGGGGACTCTACCCTTACAGTTTTTAAGTGGGACAGTCCAGGAGAAGTTTCAGGACCAGAAAGGGATGTATTAATGGGAGAAAGGGGGTGAGGGGTGGGAAGGGAAGGGTAGGAAAGGGAAGGAAACATGTCTATGCAAATATGTTTCAAGTCATGATGTTATTAGTGCAGAACCAAATAACATATAACTCAGGGAATCCAAAACATATTCAGATACAGGGCAGTGCATATTGAATTTTTATCTATGACTAATATGGGAAAAGGTACATCACTTGATTTTGATTGTCCAAAGCATAGCAATGAAAGGACAAACACAGAACAACTGGAGAAAAACAGTACCTTGGCTCTAGGAAAGGGAAAGAATTCCAGAAGGCAGTTTCCACTGGGAAATTGTCCATCTTAATATTCCAGAGGAAATGCAGCAAACTGATCTTGAGCAACAGTTCATCACCTCAGCTGCTCAGTCAGCAGTGTTGAGGAGATACCTGATTTCAGCTACAGAGATTTTATATCTTTGTATCTTAGTTCAATCCCCTTATATTTCTATTACAAAAGAAGAGAGGGGAGGACTTGCTGAACTCACCCAAGTTAAGATTTGCAGCAAAATCTAAACCAGGGACTTTTTGGTTAAACACCTTGTACTTTTGCTCTCTGTTACTACTTTAAATCTCAGTAAAACAGTAGCCAGTGATATGGTCCAATGATTACACAGATTGTGACACCAATTTTGAGAGACAATTGTCAGTTGGGGAAAAATGCTGGATGACTAACATACTGCCAACAGCCAGAAAGATTATTTTGGGACTTGGGAATTTGATGATGACAAGGAAATACACACATGTTTATTCTTTGATTACAACTGTTGGCTTCAAATTCTCTAAAGAAGCCTTCTCTAAACAGATGCACTTCATATGTGTTATATTAGTTCTAACAACTCCTAGTCAATAATGAGTAAGGATGGTGGCATCTATAGTCAAAAACATTTACAATACTTCAAGCCTGGAAAAGCCATAACAATTGATCTGAAACATACATCATAAGGCCCATCCAACAGTGAGATATCTGCTCCACTTTTGGAGTTCAGCTTAGTAAAATGAGAGAATCCCAAGATAAAATGGGACACATAGCCTCCATACTGCTTATTGTCCAGATGCAAAAGGAACACATGAGTGAAACTTGCCCTTATAAGTTCCAAAGGAATGGCAAGTTCTTTTGAAATAGGTAAATGATAGACTAGAGATAAGTCCATATTCTAAGAAGCAAGCTTTGCCCAAAATGAGGTACTCCAGATGCATTGCCTTTACTGGCTGAGGGTCCAAAATCTTCAGAAAACAACATTACAAAACCTGACCTGATCTGTTGCTTTGCCCACTGTGATGCAGTTGCTAAGCCAGTCTTAAATGCTTATAGAAAAATCATGGGGCCCTTTTCTTCTGCAGAAAGAATGGAATTGCTCCTGAGAAACAAATAACACAGCCTCAGTGGTGCTGTTTCCAAATAGTTAATTTCATAGAACAGAGAGTCTCTCCTTACTGGAAGTGTTTATGGAAAGCACTCAGGAGATGCAACAGTCACGTAACTGAGTGAAACAGAGATAGACTTCAACATTATTGGAATGGGATGATGGGGGGAAGGAGAACATCATCTGCTCTTTTTCATATTGTGGCAACACCACACAAATTCCCTTCTTGCTGTTCTATAAAAAGTAACTACATTGGCAATCAGCAAAATTATTGAGGCCTCTCCCATCCCTTTGTAAAATGGGGTAGGAAACCCACTGCTTATAACAGCCATTACATAGAAATACATGCTTCCAAGAATGCATGATTCATAAACCTGTGTTGAACAAAACATACTTGTCAGGAAAAGAGTATTGTATGAATATAAAAATAGGTTAATTTACTAATCAAATAAGTCTATGCAAACCCAGCTTTTAAGTGCAGATCAGCATTTAATGTGAAGCGATGTCACTTCCCTCCCTCTACCTTAGCAATAGCACTTAGACTTATATACCACTTCACAGTGCTTTGCAGCCCTCTCTCAGCGGTTTACAGAGTCAGCATATTGCTCCTAACAATCTGAGTCCTCATTTTACCGACCTCAGAAGGATGGAAGGCTGAGTCAACCTTGAGCCTGGTGGCATTTGAACTGCCAAATTACAGTCAGCGGGCAGTCAGCAGAAGTAGCCTACAATACTGCACTCTAACAACTGTGCCACCGAGGCTCTTAACTTGAATGGAGAAGCAGTATTTTATTTATTTATTCTATGTTGCTTTTTACCCCGTCTTGCCCACAAAGCTTGCAGGTTAGGTCAGTTCAGGATATCAATGTCATAACAAGGTACAAAACAATAAAATAACCATAATGATTCACTAAAGCAAGTTAAGTCCTTAGATAAAGAGGAAAAGTAGTGGGGAATTAGTTAGGCTCCTCCCCCAATGCAACATGGCAGGCATACTCCTGCTAAAAATCTTGCAAAACTGTCCTAAAGGTTCCTATAAGGGTACCAAGTCACTTGGGCATTTCAGCTGCTTATGAGCCGGGGGAGAGGAAAGACCTCGGGGACCAGATATGCTCTCATCAGGAAAATTGTCTTCCACAACCCTCTGCAAGGTCTTAGGGTCTGCAAACTGGTCAACTGTGCAGCAGTTCATGTGTAAGAGTCCGTCTCTTGCAATGATGCCTTCAATAAGTGTCAAGAATGATTTACATATCCAAAACTAAAATATTTACAGGTTTCTTCTTCATGATTTGAGGTGTGGGAAGGAGACAGAAAAGTTAAGAAAAACCTGGGAGGATAATCAGGTTTGTAAACAGAAGGGACCCTTTAGTACAATTTGCATTTAAGAGCAAGTACCTTTATCCTCCACTTCTTTCTCACTCTAATGTTAGATCACCGAGCCAAAGAAATAAGGCATAGGATTCCCCCCAGCACCCACACACCAGCAGTCGTGTGTGAAAATATGAAAAAGTAGGAAGAGAGGAGTAGGAGGTCTTATTTTTAAAAGCAACAAGTTTGTGTTTCAGCGAGAGTTCAGGAGTGGAAACTTGCCCACCCATCTACAGCTTCTATCCCTTCTGTTTCTCATTCCAGGTTTCCTTTTCTCCTCTGATATTTCAATCCCAGAAATAGGGATTAGCACAGTGTTTTTCAACCTTTTTTGTGCAAAGGCACACTTTTTTCATGAAAAAAATCACGAGGCACACCACCATTAGAAAATGTTTAAAAAATTTAACTCTGTGCCTATATTGACTATATATAAAGTAATTTTCCCACGGCACACCTTACACTATGTCACGGCACACTAGTGTGCCGCGGCACAGTGGTTGAAAAACACTGGATTAGCAGGAAGTAAAGTTGAGAGTCTGCAGAACAACCACCCACAAATCTTGATAGAGTTTTGCTTTCTTCCCCCCGCCCTTTTATGTCTTAAATCCAGCCCCTTAATTTGCCTTCCCATGTGGCTGCTATGTGCTGGTTTTCAACATCCAGATTTACTGTTCTCGTGTCTCACTTTGGCCTTAACTTCTGTCCTTTCTGCACTGTATTTTCAATTCTAGCCATATTCTGTTTCACATCAATTGGATGAATTTCCATCAGCCTATGCAGCTTTATGCCAGCTACCCCAATGCCATATTGCAGTGTTTCTCAACCTTGGTCATTTGAAGACGTCTGGACTTCAATTCCCAGAGTTGAAGTCCAGACGTCTTCAAATAGCCAAGATTGAGAAACACTGCCATATTATGCTATGCTAGGACAAGGGAATGCAAAAGCAATCCAATGGACACATACTAAGTGTGAGTGAAGCTTTCAGAGTGAAGCTTTCACACCCTTCAGTGGTGCCACAACAGATAAACAAGGCATCTCAGCCATTTTTAACCAACAGAATTTTCATCAAATGCCTTTAACCTAGTCTGCTTTTCAGATAATAAAGAGGTGCACACACAAACACACACAGACACACACACACCAAGGCACAAGATAATAATGTGACTTGCAAGAGTTGTAATAAGAGGCAGTAAAGCAGAATGAAATCCAGGAGATATGATCTGCTGGAGTTACTATTTTTCTGAGACACAAAATTTTCCATTAACACACAAGTTACATACCTCTCTCCACTGCTTGGTCTCTATGCCCTGAGTATACAGCACACATACTGTAAAGGGAAAAAGAATCAGAAGTTAACTAAGCCACCAGCACAGACTGTATTAGGCAAACTTCACAAGTTTCTGCAAGATCAAAGGCTAAACAAAATCACTGAAGCTTGATCCCTCACTGGTGACGTTGGGGGTGGGGGAGGGAGAGAGACCGAATCCCTGAAAACTGTAAAGCTATGGTGCATTATTTCTTTTTCTGCCCCTTCTTCTTTTTTCTTTTAAAATATTGTTTATTGGTATGTACACAAAAATAGCATCTAAAGTTTTTCTATGTTGCTATTAATGAAAAGCATTTTCCTGCAAACTCAAAAAGGCAAGAATGGGGAAGATTTGATAATGGAAAACTGAAATGGGAACTAGTTGCAACAAATACTAGAACTTGTGATTTGATCAGGTCTTAGATGCAAATCACATTTAAAAAGCTCATGTTGAACTGTTTGACATCTTAAACATCTATCATATTTTTTGTGTGTATTTGTGTTTGATCTTCACAATAGTCTTATCAGGTAAACTGACTGACAGAAACTGGCTAAGAAAGTATCTCAGCTCAGCATCCTAACCATTCTGCTCTATCAGCTCAAAAGAGTGGATCCGTTACTTTTACATCTCAGCTCCAATAATCTGAATAACATCAATTTCATGAGTATGACTGATTGCTTTTGTCTTCCCACATAATGGAGTAGCACATTATTTGCCTTAGCTTACATGAGGAAAAAGAGAGGCTGTTTTGAAATCAGAAGTTATATCACACTCAACTGAGAACTACCGCATGCCAAGCCTAGTCCTATACAAAAATTAGCGTCACTAGAATTCTTGTCAGAAAGAACACAAAACACTGCAGCTTAATTCCATCCAAATTCATTAGATTCAATAGGTTTATTCTGTTGAATCAAAGTAGACTTGCCTTGGCAAGATAGGTAGGATAGAACTTTAATAAATAAACAAACATGGGAAATTCAGATTTAATCCCCAGTTCCTCAAAAAAAAAAAAAAAAACCTCAGTAGATGATTTGGGATTCATTGTTTTATCTCAGCTTCAGCTATATATTTTTTGTGAAGACTTCTCAGCTTAACCTATTTTTTGTGATGATAATACAAAGTAGGGGGGAGAACGCTCATGTTTATTACATTGAGTTCATAGAATAAAAATAGAATATAAATAAAAGGAATAACTAAACCAATAGCCTTTGGGTTCTGGCCTTATTTTACTGTCCAAATCCATAAGGAGAATCTTCTGTCATGCTTCTTGGATTGGACTCTCCCTACAACACAATATTTTTCTGTGCTTCTCCTTCTGTATAAGTAGCAATGAAGCAGCTGGGCTATAAAATAGAGAAAGAGCCACAGAAGATGTGCTCAAAAGCTACCCTGTTTTCTTCTACTGAGAGGTGGATACTTCCTTCTACAAATCAAGGCCAAATCTAATCCTTTGATCAAAATGACAAAAGAGACAAGAGACCCAGTGTGGTCTAGTTATTAAGCCCATAAGCTTAAAAACAAGGAAACTGTGAGTTCTAGTCCCAATTTAGGCATCTAAGACAGCTGGGTGACTTTGGGCCACTCATTCTCTCTTAGCCCAATTCCCTTCACAGGGTTGTTATGGGAGGAAAAATAGGAGGACAAAGAATATTAGGCATGTTTGCTGCCTCGAGTTATTTATACAAATAATAAAGGCAAGATTAAAAAAAGCAACATCACAAGGTTGTACATGATGTGCATCAAAAAAAAAATAACACAACTTGAATTGGGACATAGTGATGCTGTTTTCATCTGATCTCCTTGTGGCTACCTCTGCCAAAGTCTACTCTTCTAGGTACTATGCTAAATGCAGAATCAAGAGAACTGTATCTCCTTCATGATTTAGCATAGAAAAACTAAACAAGACTTTTAAATTGCCCAATAATGTATTTCAATAATGTATTTGGCTCACTTTCAATTGCTCCCCAATACTAAAGCAAACAAATGGAAAAAAAATGATTAATGAGATTTTAATGAAGAGAAGCTGACAGAGAGCAAAGGTCCCCCCCCAGGTTCTGCTGGTCTTTTATCTGCCTAAGGATCTATACATACTAGTTGTAACCTCAGTGCTAATCAAAGGAACTAGAACTTCACAAGTTGAATCCACAACGACATGCTACAGTGCAAAGTGCTACTGTTCAGAAACCTAGACTATCACAACATCTTCCACATCTTTTCTAAGCTACTCCACATTATCCCACTATGCTAATTACTGTACATTCTAAGACCACAAACTTTGGCTAATCTTTACTGCAGAGGTGGGGAACCATGGCCCCTTTATGACTTGTGAACTTCAATTCCCAGAAATTCTGAACCAGCATGGCTGGGTCAGGAATTCTGGGTGTTGAAGTCCAGTGTTGCCCAGTGTATTTTATTTTATTTTAGTTCTCTGTAACCCTTTCTCCTACTAGAATGGAGATAATGATGCATTGATTGCAAATATGTGTTAACTGACTCTCCTAGACTGATTCTTGTATATGCAATGTACCATATTTTTTCAGAGTATAAAGCGCACCAAGATTTTGAAGAGGCAAATAAAAAAAAAGGTTTTGCACTCTACAGACTTCCCAAAATAGACCCATTTTTTGCGAAAACCGGCCTGTTTTTTGTCAAAAAAGGGCATGCATAGCCTTTAGGAGCTTATAGAGTGTTTCTGGGGGCTGGAGGCAAAAACAAGCAAAAATTGGCCCTTTTTTGCTCATTTCTGCCCCCCCCCCCAGCTCCCAGGAGTACTCTATAAGCCTCTTAAAGGCTCTGTAAAGGGGGCGGGGTTTTGGGAGGCAAAAAATGCTGTATTCAGTGTATAAGATGCACCCAGATTTTCAACCTCTTTTTTGAGGGAAAGGGGTGCATCTTGTACTCCAAAAATATGGCAATTGTTCAAGTTGAAGAAATGAGGGTCAGAGATAATAAATTATTAATTTAGGTTTTCAAATGTATTAGAAATATATATCAGGAGAAGAAATGTATATATACAGTATAACCTATGCTGGGCTTAATAATTGCTATGTAGGCATAAATATCTACCTTTCAGAGCTGTTTCTGTTTAATACAAGGAGGAACTCATTCTGTCTATCCTCATTTTATACATTGAAAATGAGTCACCTGACTAGTGAAAACTGAAATCATCCATACACTTAATACATTTCTCTATGTTTACTAATTTGGATTTCTTGACCAGTATAATTGTTTTGTATAAATATTGGGAGCATGAGGTCATTCAACATTATAAAGATGTAAGAATGAAAATTCAAAACCAATAAAAGTAGTAAATATTGTTTATTTTAAACCAGGAATTATTAATTTTGTCTACAATCTGAGATTAGCAAATCCCAGTAATTATACATGTATTATGCTTCTCAGATTTAAATTAATGTTTCTTAAAAATATTTAATTTGGATTTTAATTTGCATACATTTGCAATACAGAACTTGACAGATCCATAAATTGGGGACAAGAAATGTGATGAACGAAGCCCAAATATTGTAACCAAAACTCTTCTTGAAGAAAAGTGAAAGTTCATGCAACACTTACGTACATGGGTCAGACTTGGAGAATGTATCTTTATCCAAAAGATTCCTGGGAAGGGGAGGTAGGAAAAAATAAAAAGGATTATGTAGGACCAGGATAGATGAGTTTTCAGTTCAGAAATGGAACTGACAAAAAAAACCTCCCCATTTTTTTGCACCGATTCTCAACTGTTTTTTTTAAAAAAAGAAACAATATTGTATTCTAAATAATTATTCACACCCAGAAATTATTGAACTCTGCTGAAATTGTCAAGGCAGCTATAAATAAATAAATACACCAAAGCCAAGAAGAATTGGTTTTTGCTTACAATGATTCAGTAGCCATGCTGACTCAGCAGGAAAGTCTACAGGATGAGAACATTTGATTGCCCAAGGAGATACTCCACATCATAGTTATTGTGCTTGGCATACAGAAGAACTGTATTTGTAACAGAATTTCCAGCTTATATGCTTCCTAACATTAGCCAAGCATTTTATAATTCACTATTGCTTATGAGCAAGTTTTCTCTCTTCAGAAAAACACTTCCTTACAATCTATTCAGTGCTTCATATTATCTCCCAGGGCTAGTTTAATCACCTTCCCTTAATTGGTACTTCTCAGATAAGCTGGAATACAGCTCTAATAATTTCAATTAGTATTGCCTTTGCCCATTATGGCCAGGGAAGATGGACATTGAAATCTAATACATCTGCAGAACACCAATTCAAATGATGGCCAAAGTGTAGGTATCAATAACAAAGCACATGTAAATGAACACAACTTGAGGAAATGCCATTGACACAATATTAAAGTAGTTGCTTTGCAAAATGAGTCAGCACTGAAAGCACATTAGTTAAGTTGTTTGATTTCCTTTCTGCGTTAGCTATTGTTCTCTAAAAGAAATTGTCAAGGAATTATTCCAAATTTCACTATAATTGAGAAACCATTAATTCATCCTTAATGGAAATTCACATGTCTCAATCTTCAAAATGTTTACTTCTGACCTTCTAGAACCCAAACTTTAATCAGTCTGAACCAATATGCTTAGTAATCATTCAAGAATAGTTTAAGCAATAGCTTCATATTGCATTGCCTTGAATCATTCTGTAAGTAGTAGGGAAAGAAAGAATTATCTAGCCAGGTAAGAAATTATGTTGCTTTGACACTTTGCACCAATATAATTACTGTCCAATTCAGATAGTCCTTTTCACAGCAAATAAAGTCATAACTGATTCACAAATTCTTGATGGCTAAAAATAGACTATAATGGACTGTGTTTTCACAAGTTATATCTTGATAACTGATGACGTAAAAAAAGTAAAAGTTGTTTCTTTCTTTAAACCTGGGGGCATTTTTATTCTCTGCCAGGTGGTATAATCTTTTTTAAAGTTGTCATAAATCTCACAATACTAAGATTTTGTCTCTGGAAACTTCCTAACAACTTTATTTCCTTCAAGAATTTTCCTGTTATAAAAATTCTAATAACAATTATTGTAACTTTTCTAAGAGCTGTCCAGCACTTGCAGTGCTGAATATAGTCTGAAAACATCACTATAAGGCATAATAGTGTCTTATTGTAATGTTTCCAGATTATATTCAGCACTGTAAGTGCTTAACAGCTCTTAGAAAAGTTACAGTACTTGTTATTGGGATTTTTACTTGAAAATAGGCAGATTCCTGAAGGACATAAAGTTCATAAAAGTGTATAGGATTCCTTGCTAATGTGGTAAAATTTTAGATTCTGCACTAATGGCATATTGTGCCATCAATGAATAGCAGAAATAATGAAGGATTAGAAAGAGCTTAATAGCATTCCAGTTTCAGAGCGAGGTCTTTCAATAGCTTATCTTTGAAGCGCCCAAGAGCACCAATTAAATGTAAGAAGATACACAGACTGAATGCAGAGGGAGCTTGTTTCAACTCCTTAGCACACTTCTTTCTAGAAGCAATCTTTCACTACTTTAAAGACAAAAAAACCTTCAATGATCACAGCAAGCCAAGCTGTTGCATTTGGGCAAGGGAGGAAGCTCTGAGCTCTGAGTCAAAAGATCTGGGTAGATCAATAATCAAGGCAATCAAATAAGACTTCCTGTTTCCTATGTGATTCCCACTAAGAGAATCTTCTTTAGTGTGGTGCTCTCTAAGAGTCTGGGGAATACAATTCCCAGGATTTCTATCTAGCATGGCTGAGATTCTGGGAGTTGTAATTTCAACTCTTCTAGAAAACACTGTGGTGATGAAATCCAAAGCAAGATGGAAATGCAGAAGGCAGTAGAAGATACATCATATTGGAGGGATGAATATTCAGAGTCAGGTACAAGAAGCTACTGGAAATAACTACCAAGTGAGTCACACATTATTATTCATTCTTAAGACTCAAATATTTAGCATCCAGAGAATAATTATTTATCCTCTTCTAGGATGTGACACCCAGCTATTAACCAAGAAATCCTTCCCCCTCTTTTTATTTATTTTTTTAAAATCATAATCAAGGGGGAGGGGAGTCCTGTCCAGTAAGATGAGATAAAGCCAACAGGGAATGCGTGTATCAGTGGTGGGTTGCCAATTTCTTTACTACCAGTTTGGGCATGCTCCTGCACGCTCGCAATGCTTCTGCGCATGCACAGAAGTGTGCAGGTGGGCAGAGCCTCTCTCCACCACTACTACAGGTTCAGCCAATATGGGCTGAATTGGCAGCAACTCACCTCTGGTGTATATGCATGGTGTGTGTGTGTGTGTGTGTGTGTGTGTGTGTGTGTGTGTGTGTGTGTGTGTGTGTGTGAAGAGCTATGAAGTGATGTCCCGGACTTAACTCAAAGGTCTCATCTTTGAGCTTTCATGCTTAAGCTACACATTTGATATCACAGAAACCTGCAAGCAAAGAACACAGACAGTATAAATAAGAAGCATGATTTCTAAGTAATGCCCCAGATACCCTTTTCAACATGACCCCTGGCTTTCTCTGGAGTGATTGAAGATAGGGGACTTTGTGGGTCAGACACTTAAAACAGCTCTGCTTTTCCCCTCCAGAGAATCCCAGGACTTTCAATTATAATCCACTTTCATTGAACAGGATGCCCTATCCCATACTGGCAAGCTGCACTCACTGCTTGGCTATTATGTACAGAAACAGAAGAATGTGTGTAGGCGGCTGCTATGTATTACTTGAATGACCCATAAATCAAGAGAAAGGCACAAATCAAGTGTGGAAAAATATATGTCATGCTGCTTCCCTTCTGCATTAAGAATACGGCTAGTTTACAAGAAGATTTTTAAATACCAGAAAGTGTGGGGCAAAGAAAGGCACTGGAAAAAGAAATCCAAATAAATGGAAAGGACCAAAATTTAAACATACAACAATGTCAGTATTTGGAGATCTGTTTGTTCTACTGTTTCAAATGTTGGCTTAATAATCTTATCCCTGCCAATCCCACTAATAAACAAAATGAGGCACTGCATTTGTCAGACTTAACACTTGGGTTTGGCAGAAAATCACAGATTTCTAGATCCTTAGCTCTTAATTCAGTTCTTGGCCAGATTTGACAGAAGCCTCCAAGACACAGCACAACTAGTTTAGAATGCTTACTGCAAAAAAGAAAAAAGAAGAAGAAGTCTTAACACAGTGTTGTTAAACTCTCAGCCAATGGGCCGGAAGCGTCACACTAAGGCCACGCCCATGCCCAGTTTAGCGAAGGGGGAAAGGGGCCCGAAACAACATGTGATGCCACCATGACAACGTGTCTTTGACACCCCTGCCTTAACACAAGAGCCTTTTATAAACCTATGCTGGCACATTTAAAATTTCTTCTTTCCAAGATAATGGACAGTTGTCAGGTCACTGCATGGCCTTTGGCACCTGATTTGAGACTCATAAACATAATAGAAAGCAGTCATGTAATGTTTTATGCTATCAAGGAAGAGATTTTCTGCTGAGCTTACAAATTACCTGACAGGCCTTAAGCACTTTGAGCAATCATTTTCTCCTCTGTCTCTGGCAGTAACAGATTCTAGTGCTGCTGTCTAGATATCTTTTTTATCCTGATGATTCTTGGAGCGTTCAGAATTCTACCATGAAGTTCCCCACCCTATTTCTCAGCAGTTTGGCCACATTATACCAAGATGTGCCTTAAACCAGGCTACCAGATCTGGGCAGTAAAATTTCAGAAGACCACCAGATAGTAGCAAAGAGATACAGAAAGCTTTGTTGCCACATACTGGTTATCCACACTGTGCAGCCCTGGTCTGCAACCCTATCTAAGTGTTAACCTCAATGGAAAACCACTCAGCTAAGTTTTTCTCTTCTACTCATAGACTTATGATTTATAAATCTATAAATATTCATAGATTTTAAAAACATGCTACTGCTCCCTAGTCATTTTTATTACTTAGAAGCATGTTAGGTGTACTCCTACCAACTTTGCCATTTATCGCAAAAAAGGCGACTATCTGATGAAGTCGAAATCTTGCAAAAAGTTCATTCCACCCAGATGCTATTTCATTTTCTCATCTTTGCTTCCTCCACTCTCATCCTCCTTAAAGCACCCTGTGCTTTTTAATCCTAATGTCTGTAGTGACCCACATATCTTTGTTTACATACAACCAGGAGTGGGCTGCTGGGGGTTCGCAGGGGTTCAGGAGAACCTCTAGCTAAGATTCTGTGCAGTTTAGAGAACCCCCAAATCCCACTCTTGGCTGGCCCCACCCCACCCACCCCATCCCTCCCAGGAGTGCCCACGTGGCCCACTTTGGATGCAGGTAAATGCAGGGTGTCCACAGAGGCTCAGAGAGGGCAAAAATGGGCCTACTGGAAGTTTGGGAATGCCAGAAACGGGCCTGTTTCTGGCCTCCAGAGGGCCTCCGGAGCCTGGCGAGGCCGTTTCTGTCCTCCCGGAGGCTCGAGGAAAGCAAACCACCAACCCACCATGGTGCAGGAAGTCAACTAGGCGATGTCCACCCAGCAACCGGGCAGAGAACGCCTTGCTAAAAATTTTGAAGCCCACCCCTGCATACAACCATTATATCAGGCATATGATCTGAAGACATTATTAACATTATGAGTTCTGTATAAT